CCCAAGTTCATAGCGGCCGGCGACTTCAATGCCAAACACACATTCTGGGGCTCAAGACTTATATCACCAAAAGGAAAATCCCTGATGAACGTGATATCAAAACTCGACCTTAACATATCCTCCACTGGCACACCAACATACTGGCCTTCAGATCGGAAAAAAACTCCAGACGTCATTGATTTTGCGGTAACAAAGAATTTAAAAAGAGATCAAATTGCTACCGAGGCACCCTTAGAACTCTCCTCTGATCACACGCCGACTTTTATTCTGATTAGAAACACAACAATAGTCAATCCAAAATCTGAAGAAAAGCTCACAAACCAGCACACAAATTGGCTAAAATTTAAAAAATATGTTAGCTCACATATTAACACCGACATTTCCCTAAAATCAAATATTGAAATTGACAAGGCAGTCCAGGACTTCACAGCTTTACTTCAACAAGCCGCTCGAATATCAACCCCACTCCCAATACCCCACAAACCTATAAACTACCATACATCGAACAAAATTGCAACCCTTATACAGGAGAAACGACAAGTACGACGCCAATGGCAACAACAACGATCCCCCCGTATTAAAAAACAACTCAAGAATCTGACGAAAGCACTTCAGAGATTACTCGAAGAAAAAAATCGCATAGAATACGAAAATTTTATTTCACAGTTGTCTCCAACGCAAACAACAAACTACTCCCTTTGGAAAGCCACTAAACTCAAGAAAAAGCCCGTTATATACAGAGCACCCCTCCGACTTACAGATGGAAACTGGGCTAAAAGCGATGAGGAAAAGGGTGCTGCTTTTGCAAATCACCTTAAATATGTATTTACCCCAAACTCCACTTTAACAAAACTTGACTCTCTGCCTTACTCCACACGAAACGACAATATGACAATTTGCTTCAGTAAAAAAACACTAAAAAGCGAAATCAAAAATTTAAATACCAAAAAAGCCCCAGGCTACGACCTAATTACAGCGAAAATGCTGAAAGAGATCCCACAAATCGCCAAAGACCAACTACTTTTTATTTATAACGCTATTTTAAGGACTGCATATTTTCCAAACGACTGGAAGCTATCCAAAATCATGATGATATCCAAGCCCGGAAAGGACCCCGCTCAAGTCACCTCATATAGACCCATAAGTCTGCTTCCAATTCTCTCAAAATTATTTGAAAAACTTTTTATAAAACAACTAATGCCATATATAAATAAGAAAAGAATAATACCTAACCACCAATTTGGATTTAGAGAAAAACACAACACAATAGAACAAGTACACCGCATAGTACG